CCTCTTCCCAGGAGTGGCTGGGCTCCCTGCAAACCAGGTAGGAGCGTGGATCCCATTCCAACAGCCCCCGTGCCCCCTTCCCTCTTGGGACCCCAGCTGAATGGCCTTCAGTGTCCACAATGTCACCCTGGACTGTGTCCTGTCCCTGTGGTCCCTCACGCCACGTGTCTGGTGTCCTGACCTGGCCTGTGACTCCTGCCTATTTCCTCCAGACCTAACGCCCCTGAGGACCCCCAGCCAGTGACCGAAGAGCACTTTGTCCCTGCCTGGAAGGTCCCCGGCCCCAGGCAGGACGCACACCTGGGTTGTCTGGAGGCCAGCCTGGGAGACGGGGGTGACATGAGGCATTCCAGAGAGGCAGTTCAGCACACTGCCAGCAACATGGGCACATCCTGTCTCTTTAAGAGAGATGTACACAGAGGTGAGGCAGGCAGCGCTCCAGGGCAGGAGGAAAGGAAGCCACTGTGGGGTGTTATTTCTATTAATAGAATGAGGTCCTGGGACAGCACCAATGCCGGACTCTCCCGGAGGACTGAGAGGTCACTGCCCGGAACAGCAGGCCAACTTGCTCCCCCCACCCCACCCCCGCACTCCCCAAACCCAAGTCAGATGACCCTGAGTGAGCGCCCGTGGGCCAGGCCAGCAGAGGCCCTGCGATGGCCCTCAGGTGGCTCTCGGCAAATCACTCTCCATGTCCCCGTCTACACTGAAGGCAGGTTTGTCTGTTTGCTGGGAATGAGCCAGCAAATGCAGTGACTTTCCTTCTGCTCTGGGCCTAAAGCCCAAACCAAGAATCGCCCTGGTGCAGGGCAGACGCAGGACTTTAAAATCACGTGCTGTGAAAGCAGATGTTCATTATTATACTGACTATTCTGGAAGCTTCGTTTCATTAGGAGGAATCTGATATAACCACTAATTCCGTCTGCAAAGTTTAAAGAAGGTTCTTAAAAACACAGTCAGGACAGACCGCGTTCTGTAAGTTTTCTCTCCAAGCGCTTTTCCCAGGCAACCAACCGGGGTTTACAAACAGTCACAGGGTGTGGGCTTTGGAATCAGACCAAGACCCCTGCCAGCACACCCCTGCCATTGCTGACCTCATCCTCGGGGCGAAGGGCCCAGGAGAAGACAAGCTCCCCACAGCGGGCACTCAGAACTGCCGTCCAGGGCCACTGACCTCACGCCCTCCCCCGGCCAGCGCCAGAAGTCCCAGCACTGATCGGAACGCAGGCCGCAAATCAATCAGGAAAAAGCCGTTTTCCTTCTACGTCTTATCCGAATCTGCTGCTTTTCTGCAGCCGGAGAAGACCACCAGGGTCTCCCAGGGGACGGTCTGAGGAACTACAGACCGTATTCTCATCCACGCGTCAGAAAAACCCTCAGGGGCTGGGCCGCTCAAACACAGGTTGCTGAAACTCCTGCACGTAGAGCTTTCTTTCTGACTTTCTGTCTTTGTTTCCTTCTGCCTCATGACGCTACTACTATTGCGGCCTCCTCCCGCACCAAATCCCCAAAGAACATGTTAGTTCTCTTATCTCCCATAGCGTCTGGCACCCTGCGAGCAAGCACATACTTAATAAGTTGACTGGGTTCAAATTTATTATGCGACCTATTATGGGTTGGATTGTGTCCCCCCAAATTCCGATGTTTAAGCCCTCACTCACCGAAGTGCAGGTCGTGACCTTATTCGGAAACAAGGTCGTGCAGATGGAACTGGTTGAGTTGAGGTCAACTGGGGGCCGGTGGTCCTCATCCAAGGACGGCGTCCTTACGAAAGGGGAGGTGAGGACACAGCAGAGACCACAGGGAACACCGTGGGGACACTGGACGTGTGCTGGACGCCCTTCCCCGGCGCCTTCCAAGGGAGCGCGGGCCTGCCTGCACCCCGATCCTGGGCCTGTGCCTCCAGGACTGGGGGAGAGCAGGTGCGTGGAGCAGCCCGCCCGGGCAAGGGTTCTGTTACAGCCCAGAACACAGATATCCGGCCCGACAGCTGAACCCAATCTAAATGCTCACATACACACCCAGGAAATCTACCAAGACAAGCGGGTCGCAGGACTGTCGACTGTGAGCACAGATGTGGATGGAGGGAAAGTCTCCCAGGAACACTTCACTGACCTGGCGTGGTCTGCGGGCTCTGGGGCCCAGGGAGAAAGAACCAGGCTCCCTGAGATGCTCTCGCTGAACCAAGCGACTCCACACGCCACATCCAGGAGCAAAACTCAAGCAACGTGTCATCATTCCCACCCCGTCGGTGCGCTCATCGGAGACGGTCCCCTCTAAAACTCGTACATCTTGGCTTCACCCTCTGATAAATAGTCTAAAAAAGGTTTGAAGCAGTAATTCATGACCTGCGGGAGCCGGACTCCCTGGATTCTGCTGCCTTCATGGGTTCCCATCCCAGGAGGGATGACGGAAGCCAGCAGCGGGAGTAGCTCAGCAAAACGTCCCAGCCGTCCCTGCAGAAAATCAAAGCACAAGAGCCCCATACGCAGAGATCCAGGAAACCGTGGAATCCCACTGAGTCTCCCCTACAGCACAGAATGTGGCAGCAGCCACAATGGAAAGGGTCTCTTTTCTGAACTGTTTGTCTACAGAGTCCATGCGCTGCCCCGCCCCGTGCCCCTGGCCTCCCACCTCAAGAAAAACAGACATGACCAAGGGGAACCCCGAAAGAAAACTTTGACAATCTGAACCAAAATGAATGTCTGCCTGGTTCTAGGCCCGTTTGACTGGCTCCAAAGTAGAACAAATGAACAAAACTCGAGAAGCACATTAGCACATGTTTTCTTAATGAAAGGCACATGGGAAACCTGAGCCTCCTCCAAACTTGCCTTCGTGCTGTGCCTTCCCCAGCCCAGGGGTCTGTCCTCAACCACGGCTCTGCCAATATGAGGCTGCGGGTGGCTCCCACCACTTGAACCAGTCGTCAGGGTGTCCATGTGGCAAACTGGGGTGAAGTTAAAGCCCTTTCGACTCCCCATGAATATTCAGTGAGGTTTCCAAATGCTCCCGTGGAAAGCGAGCCACTGTCCCGCCTGTCTGCTTTAAGGCTCACGGTACTCGGTGTGCAAGCCCCAAAAGATATCTCCGTTTAAGAAAATGCAAAAGCTCGTGAAACTTCAGAAACCCCAGTTTTTTAGAGGCAGAGATTGGCTAATATTTTACTCCAAAAACCTACCTTTGAACCGCAGAGAGTCAGGAGCTCTGACCATAATTTGTGCCCTTGGTGTGAAATTTGCAGTGGCGGAGACAGTCAGAAACAAACCCGTGGGGGCCGTGGGGCAGGGACTGGGGAGGGTGGGGGGACAGTGGCAATTGGGCTCCTGCAAGCTAAACACTGTATTTCCTCCTCATTCCCCGCTCCTTGTAGGAGGATGGAAGGAGGGCTTCAGTTTTGAAAGCAGATCTTCCTAGAATGTACAAGGAAGTGATCACTGAAGTCTGATGATCCAATCAATGCCGTTAATATGCCAAGTAACGCACACTGATGGTTTGATAGTAACATGTTTTCATCCAGGCCACGCATGACGTTTCCTAAAGCTTCCCTCTCCGTCACAGAACAGCATTTTATAGGAGCATGTTTTGGTGGACTGAGTGTGGACTGTCAGGGCCTGGCAACATCTGTCTTTTATTACCAGAGCTCCTGATATCCAGATGACAACAAAGTGTTCTGAGTGCCCTGCGAGTTGGATCGGGCTCCTCAGTCCTGTCTTAAATCATGATTTTATTGTGACATCAGCTTCGTTTACAAGCAACATTTTTATTTCCTGGACAGGCAGGCTGCTCTGCACTCTAATGCAGATTCTGTTTCCGTATGTACGGTTCAAGTAAGAAAAATGCCTGAAACTAGCGTGCATGCAAAATTCGTATTGAATAAAACCTCTTTCGACCCTTGAAAATGCAGCGCCAAGACACGCGCAAACTTCTAAGATGAAACGTTTTACTTTCTCAAGTCACCTAATGAACACTGTATTAGCAAAGAGTCCCTGCGCGGTTAGGACCAATACAACCCCATTTATAAAATTAGGGTTTTTCCCCCTAATTATGCTGTGCTTCAGCTTCTACGTTTAACCCCTTGTAAGTAACTGTTGATCTTAATATTCTGTGCTGGCCCAAAGCAGGGGTGGGAGAGGAAACTGCAGCGTTTCTGAAATGCAGGGAGACCTCGTTTTGAAAAGCCCTTCGCAGCGGCCCCCGCTTTGTCAGCCTGTGTGAGAGGAAAGCAAACTTTAATCACTCACAGAGACCGGGGTCAAGGTTCACACTGCAGCCCCGGGGAAACCACCGGCCACCAAGCCAGAAGCGGGGTCGGGGGGCCCCGGGATTCGGCTCAAAAGCAGGAATGGACCTGAAAACCAAATGGAGAACGTGAAGGCGGCCTCGCAGCGCGCCGGGGCTCCCGTGGGTCCAACGGGCGCGGGGCTCGGAGCCGGGAGTTGGCCGCGCGGAGGCCGCAGGCCGTGTCGCGGGCGGCCCCGCTCTGCATCGCCGCGTCCTCTCGGACCGCAGGGCAACCGGCCGCTGAAGCGGAGCCGCAACTCCGCGGCGAGACGGCGCCCGCAAAACTGCGGGAACAAAGCCCGGGAGGGAGCTGCGCGCGCGCCGGGGCGCGGTTCTCTGCTCGGGTCACGGAGAGGCGCGACTCCACCTCCGCGCGCGGCGCAGCCGCCGCTCCCCTTCCCCGCGGCCTCCGCGGGGCCGCTCCCCCCGGACGCGGCCGGCCCCCCGCCCCGCCGCCCCGCACACACACAATGGCGCCCCGAGCTCCCGCCGCCCGGGCCTCGCGCCGCCTGCGCGCCCCCCGCGCGGGCCGCGTTCCCGGGTCCGCGCACAAAGGAGGCGCGTGGGCTCGTCCGCGCCCCGCGCGGCCGCCAGGTGCCGGCGCCCCGCGACCCCGCGCTCGCGCGTCTCCGCGCACCCCCGGCCGCGGCAGGAACGAGGCGGGGCGCCCACCGCCCGGGGCCTGGGCGCCGCGGGGGCGCGAGCCCGGCGCCACTTACTTTCTCGATGGTCCCGGGCAGCAGGCGCTCCAGCAGCCGGCACAGGACCACCCCGTCCTTCAGAGACGCCTGCAGGAAGCCCTCCGGGTCCGCGATGGTTTTCTTGGGCGACTCCAGCACCCCCAGGGTGATGAGCCACGTAACGGTCTGCTCGGCGGAATTCATAGCGGCGGCGCGCCCGGCCTCCCCGCGCCGCGAGCCCGGCTGGGCGCCGTTCACCTCGGAGCGGCCGCGGCCCGGCCGGCTGCGCCCCCCGCCCCCCCCCGGCTCGCCCATGGACAGGCCGGCCCCGCGATTGGCTCGGGCGGCGCCGCGGTCCGGCCGGCTCGCGCTCCCTCGCGTGCGTCCTGGCCGACTGTCAAGTGCCTTTTCATTAGATGCTCATGAACCTGCGGCGGCCGCCCGGCGCCGCCCCCGCCGCCGCCTCCCGGCTCCCCGCCGCCGCCGCCGATGACATCACCGCGAGGAGAAGAAAAGACGCGGCGCCGGAGCGGCCCCGCGCCGGCCGGCCGCACACGCACCCCGCGCTCGGGCCCGCCGTGCGCCCCGCCGCGCGCCCCCGCCCCGGCCCGGCCGTGCGCGCCCACCTGCGCCGCCGTGACCTCCGCAGGCGCCGGCCGCCTTAACCGTTTGCGCCCCGCGGGCCCCGCGCTCCCCTGCGGACGCCCCGCGCGCCAGGCGGCCCTCGCGCCGCCCCTCCTCCGCCGCGCGGAGCCCCTCGCTGATTTTTTTGGATTCTCCGGGGTTTCAAGTATTAAGTGCCTCCCAGATGCTCTTTCTGATTTTCGCCAGTTTTATTTCGGGCGGGGGCGGGGCGGTGCTGACCACGAGGCGGCGGCTTCTCCGCGCCACTCCGCGGGCAGCAATCACAGAACAAACGACCGCTAGATCCTGAGCAGGTCTCTTCCCGGGCGCTGCTGCCGTCCTTGGGAACAAGGACGGACGCCCCCGCAGCGCAAGGAGGTCACGCGTGCCCCCGCGGGGAGGCCGGCTCCCGCGCGTGACCTCCGCGCCCGCTGAGCCGGTCCCCTCCGTGGGGCCAGAAAGCTAGCAGCGACCCCGCTTGAACCTGCCGGTGGCGCTTCCAGCACCGGGGGAGAAAGGTCAGGAAAGCGTTGGAGCCCGACCTGGGTCCGTGCGGCGACCCGAAGGAAGGACGGAGGACACCTGCGTCCAAACAGGTCCCTGGGCCCCACCTCAGTTGGCTGGGAGATGCTTGGCTGGGAGATGCTCGGCTGGCCATGGGGCTGTGAGCCACGGGCGGACTGGAGGAACTCGGACGTCCAGCTGTCCCACAGTGAACACGATTCTCCACGCATGCAATGACAAGCACATGTGCATATAACCAAAGGGGGGGCCGCTTCTTACAGGAAGGACAGCATAAGGGACTGTCCTGTACCTGTGTGGCCCTTTGCTCCTGCACTAGTCCCCGAGGGCATTTCGCAGTTTAAAACAGCATTAGCAGAGCTTACTATATCCCAGGCACGTTTAGTCCAGTTAATGGCAAAGGCTAGAAGCCATATAAAACTTTTAAGAAATGGAGGCTTAACTCCCTTTTCCTTTGCCTTCATTCGTCCAGAGGACTTCCATGGTGATCATGGATTGCATGGATTTCCAGCTTTGAGCTCAGCAGTTACATCTGCTTCCAAATGCAAACACACTGAAAGGGCAGCCCCATCCTCGGTGGCCACAGTCACCACTGAGCTCCCCAGATCTCTGCCAGAGCTCCCTCCTGGTATTGCATCACACCATCATCACTACAGTCATACGAGGTTTGTCTCCTTGTCCCCGTTGTCCCACACCCAAGTGGAGGAGAGACAGGACGCAACACATCACCAGTTTCTAGACAGCGTCTCTACACGTCTTCCAGTGAACAAAGCAGGTAAGTGTTCCATTAAGGTCTTTGCCCAAGGACGGTATCAACACGAGCATATTGCCCTAAAGCTAGTTGTCCCCTGAGACTCCTGTTCACTCTCATTACTGCTGAACTGAAGAAGTAGTTTAACATACAGCCATGACAATTCAAATTACATTAAATTAGGCCTGGTGCTTATAATCTGGTAAACAAGAGTGAGATTCAACTTGACTCAATCAAATAATCCTAAAGAAGGCAGCTCTAGGGAGTGGCCTTAGGTGACCAGTAACCGGGCAGCCAATTATTGTCAGAAGGGAGACCCGCTCTAATGGCTCTTAGAAGTCCCCAAGCATTTCAATGCTTTCTGGCTCCTGGTCGCATTCTTTTATTTTGGATGGATGTTTGTTTCAAAAAACTTTATTTAGAAGGGATTCCTTCTAGAAAGTAACATTGTTCGAAGCCAAGTGTTTTTTCGGAGTTTAACGAAGCTATTTTAGTATCCAAGGTGGGCATTTGGTTAGACTTAGCATTTTTCCAAATTCCGATCATAGAAGGCTCAGGCCACGGAGAAGAATCCATTGTTCTGTTGGGTGGGAGCCAATCAAGACTGCTGTCAACCAAGAATTTTGGTCCAGTCTGTGGATGCCTTTCGTGTCACCCCAGAAGAGTGTGGAGAGGCTGGCTCTCAGCACAGGCATGTGTCCTCTGGTTCCCTCCTCTCTCATGAAAGGGTTTAACCTCGCAGCCCATGAGGCCCTGTTAAGACCTCAGAGCCTTGTCCCCGGTCAGCCCCAGGGTACACCCTCAGTCAGCTGCCCCCAGGTGCCCCCTGAACTGCACCTGAGCTCAGCCGAGGGATGCTGATTGCATTGGTTGGCTCATTGGTACCTGGAGGACGGTCTCTCCCCCAACCAGAAGCCAGGCAGGCAGATGGCGATCGGCCTAGCAGTGTGTCACCGTCACTGCCTCGGAGGTGCTATGGTTGAAGTGGACCATCGCCTGGATGGAAGCCCACATGAAGGTGAAGGTCACTGGAGCCACCGTGGGTTCGTTACCGACGGCATTCGTTACCGACAGCATTCATTACCGACGGTGTTCTTTCGTTAGACAGCACCCTATTTATTGGGCATAAGGACAGTCCAATGCTAAACATGAGAGGTGCGAGGCAGGAAAAAATCGTTTAGAAACATACACGCTGAAAATTACGCAAGATTGGAAGACGTCTTACCACTACACTGTTTTATGAGCATCACGTCAACCGGAAACTTACCCCAGTCTGGGTTCCCCAGAAGCAGATCCTGAGGCCGCAGCGGGGACCGAGGAAAGTATCTGGAACACAAGCCTGGAAAGCACAGATGAAGAAAGGGACAAAGTGAAACAGGGAACGGACACAAGTGAATCAAAGGTGGGGCAGCTGGGACCCAGCTCCCCTGGGGCCTCTGAGAAGCAGAGCAGGGCAGAGGGGGCCCCCCGATCCCCCTGGCCACGGGCGGGCAAGCTAAGCTTCTTCCCTCCACACCTATCTCCCCGGACTGTGGGTCTCTGCTGGGGGGTGGCCTCCAACTCCACAGAGCCTTATGTCGTGAGAGCAGGAAGCACACGGGTCCCACGTGGACCCCTGGCCATGGTGAGCGGTGGTGGCGAGTGACAGTGAGCCCCAGTGAGCAGTGGCGGTGGGCGGTGATGGCAAGTGGCAGTGAGCAGAGCCAACGCTGCTTCTCTAGCTTGGTGCCCAACGCTGCTTCTAGATCCTGGGATACGACACCCTGTAAAAGCCATTGGTCCAACACGTGTGCTGCGTCTTGGAGGAGAGGTCTCTAGCCTGAGGAAGTCACCACCAAGCGGGATTCCTGCAGGCCCCTATCCGGTGAGAAGAACTGCTTCTCCCCTCAGACCGGGGGTCCTGATGTCACCAGCTCGCCACCAAGCAGCTGGTGTTACCGAGCAGCGGGTTTGAATTTGCTGGCACCGGGGGCAGCCGGGTCAGTGTGGGTGAGAGGGAGTCCCTGCTGTAGACCTCTTGCCTACCTCTGTCCCTGCCGCTGTGGCCGCAGGGCTGGCAGGCGAGGCCCGGGCTGCTGCCCTGGTGACAGATGCCGTTGGCGTGCCTGCTCGCTGGGCTCCCCTTCCTCCCTGATGCTCTCTGGAGACCGAGGCAGGAGTCTAGACCTACAGCACCCCTCTGCCTCCTTGTAAGGCCCACCCAGCCCTTCCCCAGGGCCCTCCTCCCCCAGGTGGAGCCCTGCCGCCCCTCCTGTCCACCGTGTGCACCTGCTCAAGAGGACAGGGGCCAGCTCAAAGCTTCACCAGCCCAAGGGCTTCTCCTCCCCTTGTCCTGTCGCCCGCCCTGGAGCTGGACGGGAGCGGGGCAACAGTCCATAGGGCCTTTTGTGGTTCACACCAAGTTAGCAATGTCATAGGTGCAAGCTGAGTGGCTTCCGGGAACCCGGCCGATGGAGGCAGATGACTTGGAAGTCTGGGCTGTTTGTGTCAACAGCTTACTGGTGACCTCCCCTGCTCCCGCCCCAGCCCAGCCCACCCTGCCCTGCGGGATGACTGGCAGCCCTGTGGGCTCCTGGGACGGTCTTCCAGACCACCCCAGAACGTCTCCTCGGACACCCTCGCTAGGGGGCTCTAGCTGCCTCAGGGAGGAGCACGCTCTGGTTCTCCCCACGTGGGCCGTGCTGCACCTCCACTCCCCGAGACCCTCCACACTGCCCCGCCTACTCCCTCACTGCCGCCCAGCAGGAGGAGTCACCCCTATCTGGACTGAGGGCCAGCTCTGAGCACGAGCATGCTAGTCCTGAGACAGAGGCCCCCATCAGAGCCCAGTCCCCAGCCTTACTTGCCTCTCCCACCCCACCCAGCTACCCGCCCTCCTAGGCAGGGGGAGCTCAGCTCAGACCCACAGCCCCTCTGATGAACGAGCCTTCCTCCAACAGCTGCTGTGGTGTCCCCTCCAGGCCTGCTGATGCTTGCCCAGTTGCTGGTCTAGAGGCGCTGAGTGAAGACAACCCCCATGCCACACCACAGGGCCTTTGCACACCCCAGGAAGGCTGCACTTCCCTAGCAAAGGAGAGGGACCATTTCTCTTGGCTTGGAGAGATCAGGAAATCGGGAGCCCAAGTTTCTCAAAACCTCCACTCAAGGCCCCCCTTCCAGGTCCCAGGGACTCTTTCGTCCCAACTCAGCCCTGGACTCAGTCCCAGAGGTCTGCCCTGGTGGGGTCTCCCCAGCTTTGTCGACTGGCCACATGTGCGACAAGGGCTGAGCGCTCTCATGGCAGGGGTGGGTGATTTCTCACACTGCGAGGGGGGCTTCTGCGGGTGAGCTCCCTAAACTGTCACTGTCTTTCTCCTGAGACTCCCCTGCCACACAGCGGACTTCACAGTCCTCACAAATGTCACTGCTCCATATCCTTCAGGCACTGGGCTGGTTCCACACGCTAATGCTGCCCTTGCCCCTGCTCTGCACTCCCATTCAGCACAGATGGGACAGTTGTCGTCGTCGTCGTCATCGTGAGGCTCGGAAGGGGGGAGGGGTTAGCCCCCTTCACGTAGCACGAGCAACAGGGTCTGTGACTGTTCATTCCA